GCTGGTTTTCACACCAAACAGAATAAAAGCAAAATTATCTGCTAAAACTTTGAATGCACCAATGGTGCCTGTTGCAAAATGAGGATTAGGGCTGAGAAGGGAAAGGCTGGGAATTCAGACCCTGAAAACCAGGGCAGAGATGCGGTACCCACTGGCGGCAGGGCAGGGAGCCATCCCCTGCTCTGGGATGCTGCTGCAAGGTTCTGTAGGACCTTGGCCTGGTGGAGGCTGTGGGGCTGCCTGTGAACTACTCAATGCCTCCACAGATCAAATTTTAAAAGAAAATAGAGCAGCAGATGAGTTTGAGCTCCCTGACATGGCAACACTGTGCCTAACCCAGCTCTGCCCTGCACCAGGCCCATGGGCTCCTTCTGCTTTTCACACCCCCATCACTGCCTCTCGTGTTTTCCTTCCTCAGCTATTCCAGCATTTCTTTCCCAACACTTCAGCACTCAGAGGAGTGATGAACTTAGAGAACTTCATCACTCTGAGGAGTGAAACACTTCTGTGGGAGGACAGGGTCCGTGCAAGCCCCCTGACCTTCCCCCAGAGCAATGTTGATTTTGGAAGCCACATGGGGCAATGGTCACCAGTGCTCCTTGTGGCAAGGTGGATGTGTCTCCCTCTTTTTGGGGTGGCCAGACTGCAGCAAGGGAGGTGCTGGTGAGACTGGGGCATCACTGAGAATGTGATGGACCTGCTGGCAAAGCTGCTCAGATGCTCCTTTGTTATAAAGAGTAGAATTGCTTATTGGAGCCTCAGGATTAAGCCATGCTTGCTGCAGCTCCCTCCCCATGTCCCTTCCATCTCCACTCCCCAGGAAACCCCAGCCTGGGCATGGAGTTGGAAAAGATTGTGGGTGCCTCAAAGGCAGTGCAGAGCTTTGAACCCCAGTGATGTGTTTGTGTGTGTGTGCACGGCCCAAATCACAGCAGCTGCCATCATGAAGTTCTGCAGAGCTTAAAAACCAACTGAAACCCATTTTCCAGTCTCATTTTCCAGTGTCAAGCACCTCTCCCTCCTCAGCAGCACGGATGAGCGCTTTCCCTGGCACAAACACCAAGCAGGATTTACCGTGATGAAACAACCAAAGCATTTATTATAACGATATAAAGATAACAACGCAGGCTGGAGGTGTTTTACAGGAGATGTTTGCCTCAGAGAGTGATTTAAACCTGAGCCAGGCAGAGAATCCCCCAGTGGAGGTGACTTTGCTGGCTCGGGAGGGCTGGCAGAGGCTCATCATTCCCACATGGAGATCACTGCCCGCTTCCCCCTTCCCTTCTGGCACCGGGTTATTTTCAGCTTTCTGAAGCAACTGTAGCCCAGTGTGCTAACAGGAGGTGATGACAGCTTGGGAGGTAGGGCCCGTGCTGCTGACAGCTTGTAGTGTTACACCTTTTTGGGAAAATTGTGGCAATCACCTGGCAGGGTGAGGGGAAAAATGAAAATAAAGGTGTTTGAGCAAAAGCTGTGATCCCCACAGAGATCACAGTTCTGCTGATGTTTGTTCTGGTAGAGCCACCACTTTTGCAGGGATGTGTTTTGGGGAAGAGCTCACAGCAGCTGGGTGTTTCACCATGGGAAAATCAGACAGGGGGATGTTGCTGAGGGATTTCTCCAGCTTGTTGTTGGGGCTCTGCATCCAACAGCCCCACCCCTGATGGGGAGGGAAAACCTGAGGAGAAGGATGGATGTGAGGGGTGAGTCGCCTCCTGCAGCCTTCTCTGATTGTAGCCTTGGTCCCTGCACAGTGTGGAGCATCACAAGACCCTGTGGGAAGGAGAAATAGCCTCAGTTTGGTCACCAGTTGATCTGGAGCAAGCCTGCAGCTTATTCCAAGTGACCAAGAATTTATTATTGATGTATTTTTAGATATTTTTCAAGTACTTCCACTAGCAATGCCTCATTTTCTCTCTGAGGGCTTGCCCAGTGTGCTGGATTAAGGCAGTTTTGGAAAGGGTTGGGGGAAGAAAAACCAGCACCTCAAATGGTCAAAAATGGGCGCTTGTGGTCAGTAAATGTGGTTTTGGTGTAAGGTGCGTTACAGGTGCTCACTGGGTGAAGTCAGAATGGCCAGAAACATCTCCCAAAAGCCATCTGTGTTGGATTCCCACAGTTTCCCTGAGAGCAGCAGGATTTGAGGTGCCTGATACCCCTTTTAGTCTGGCACTGGAGGCCAAGGTTGTGGAGAGGCTTGGAGGGGCCCAGGGCTGCCTGGCCATGGGGAACAATCACCACATTGTGCCACCAAACCTTCTCTTCGCTGGCTTCAATAGAGACTTGACTGCCTGGTTTCTCCAGCTCAGCACCTCAGCATGTGCTAAATTCACCCCATAAATAAAAAATGAGCAAAGAACTCTGGAAGTGCTGCAGACAGTGCATTGATGGTGGAGGCTGATCCACCACTGCTGGAATCCACCCATGGAATGTTGGCTTGGTGATCACCATCCTGGGGGGACCTTCCTGACCCCAGCCACTGGCAAGGTGAGCTGTGGCATTTTTTGGCAGACAATACCTGTGAAAACTTGTTTTCTGAGCTGTCAAACCTGCCCCAGAGGGAGCATCTCTGCCCACAGAGCACCCTCTGCACGTGGCCTTCCTCCACCAGCAGCTGCTGCAGCATCAGGACCATCAGAAGGGGTTTTCCATCCTCTTGCATTCCCTGGAATGACTCCAAGGGTTGCAGCGTATGTGGATTTGAGCAGGGAAAATGAGCCTGTTGGCTTGGTTGCCCAAGTCCCATAAAATGCAAAATTTCCCTGGAAGTCAAGTAACTTCATGGCTGTTCCCTGAGATGTTGTCTGAGCTTGAAAATGTTTTTATTTTGGATGGGAAGAATGTGCTGTCAATGTGTTGTGGTACTCTCCAGTCTTCCTCCTCCTTCATCCACCACCACAGGAATCACTCATCTCCTCTCCCACCCTCTGAGGATGCTCTATCCCACCTGTAGCAGCCCAGCATGTCCATACCTGGGTACCAAATCCTGGGAAGGGCCTGGTCCAGGAGATGAGCTCAATTAAGAAGGAAAAAAATTAACATTCCCAAAAGTGCCAGAGTTTTGTTTGTAGAAAGGATTTGCACTTCTGAGAGGGCTGTTGACTTTCAGGAGACCTAGGCTGTTCAAGTGCCTAAATCACTGTTGGAAATATGCTTGCAAATTTTGTGAAGTGCTTAGAAAATATTTCTACTATGTCCTCGGGCCTTCTGCAGTGGTAATTATGAGTTGTCCATTAACCACAGTGTGCAGCTCTCTGCTTGAAGCTGCTGCATGCTCAGCACCCAGAAGACAGAGCATGGTTGGGATTAAAAAAAAATATGACCAGGATGACGTGAGGGCTGGGTGCAATTGCATACTTAGAGAACAAATGTCCTTTTTTTCACACAGGCTTGGGGTTTGTGGGTTTTTGAAGGTTTCAAAGACTGAAGGCCATGTGAAATGAAGCTTCCCCCAGCTTGGGCAGTGGCCAGCTCCTCCTGGGGCAGCTGGAACTTCTCTGTTAAGACAGAGCAGCCTCTGCAATGACTCTTTTTACCATGTGCATGGGGTAGAGCAGCACCCAAAGCCACTGGTCCATGGGTCCAACTCAGCACAAGGCCCTTTGATTTGTAAAGAACTGATTGGGGTGTGATGCAGAGCCCCTGTATCTCCCTTAGGGGCTCTGTGAATGGGTGATCTTCCTTAGTTTACAGCCTGGGGTAGGTTATTGTGGTGGAGTTTCTCCCAGATCACCTGGATTTGAATGAAAAAACCCTCAAGCAAATGTGCCTAATTCCTTGGGAATGCTAGTGGCGATGCTTCAGAGCAAGGTTGTGTCTCAGGCTGTGTGTTTGATCCTGAATTGGGCCAACCAGAGCAGAGAGAGGCAGTCACTCTGTGTCACAAATACTCTGTTGGGTACTGAAGTTCTCATGGCTCCCTCAGCTACTCCTGGTGATCCAGACCCTCCCCTTGCTCCATTCCTCCCTCTGGATACTCTCCTGCCCCTCTTTCTTGTCATGAAAAACTGACTGGTAACAGATGAACATCTCTAGCTAGTGAGGGGGCTGCCTTCCTCCCAGGGATTTATGGAATTCCCATTCAGGCCTATCCCATGGGATGTGTCCAGGCCAAATGTCTGAGAAGTGAACGCTCACTCTGAGAAGTGACCACTCACTGGCTTGGTGAGAGGCTCCACAAGCTGCTGAGATCCTCCTCAGGCTTCTCCTGCTCGGAGCACACTCTCTGCCCCTGGCATGGCCTCGTTATTTCCATTGGCACTCAGTCATGAGGGTTTAGTTTGTTCTTTTAAAAACCAGCCCAGGCTAAAGGCATTCCCTGGCAGGTGAGCACGCTCGTGGCCAGTCTGCATCCCTGGGAGGTTCTGTGTGCTCTGCTCCAGAGGGTTTGGAATGTCTGCATGCTCCTTGTCATTCTCAGAGCTTGAAACTGTTTAGAAGGCGTGACAGTGCATAAACTGAATCAGGTTTCTGGCCAAGGTGACCAGGCATGGAGACTCGGGGAACAGACAAATGCGCTCGCCTGGTCTTTAGTGAGGGGAACGGGAACAGACATGAGCCATCACAGAGGAGGGTTTAGAAGGATATAAGCTTTCAGATATTGAAAGAAAGTCCTGAAGTTTTTTTTTTGTTAATAAGGGGAGTTATTGGAAATGTTCATTCATTTTTGGTGAGCTCTGTTCTGCCTCACAAGTGAAACAGGGCGATGCATGGGGTGGAGATGGTGATGGGACCCATCCAGAGCAGGCTGGGGGTGGTTTTGATCCTGTTGCTTTTTGCAGGGGCAGGGGGGCCACGGGACCTGCCATGGATGGGGAGATGGAGGGTTGCAGCATCTCTCCATCTCCTGAGGACCCGCTAAGTGTTCCTGCTGCTCTGCTTGTTTTTTGTTGGGCTGAGGGAGCTCGGGTTTGGGGTCGGGAACACTCCTAGCTCATGGGATTATCGGACCGCATCATCCCGGTCTCCACCTCAGCTGCCTCTCTCCCCTTCCTCTGCAGAACCGCCAGACTTTCAACAGCCTCACCTGCCTCAGCAGCACGGCCGAGGACGGCTCCCAGCGGCTGCCGGGCCCTCAGGCATGGCCGGCGGCCCCCGAGGTGATGCCGGGCCGGACCCCCGCCTGCACCCCGGTCCCGGAGCCGGCCCGGGCCCGGCCCTGTGAGCACCGCGCCAGCAGGGACGACCTGTCCTGTGAGGAGGAGGAGGAGGCCACCGCCAAGGAGGAGCACAGGGCAGCCTGGAGGAGCACCGAGAGCCTCTTCCAGCTGGATGGCGAGCTAGACATCGAGCAGATCGAGAACAACTGAGGAGAGAGCAGCTCTGCCCGCCCTGGGCTCTGAGGGCTGCCAGCGGGGCCAGGGAGGGCTCCTGGCTGGCGGCGAGTTTGTGGGATCCTGTCACTGCTCCCCTCCTGCCAGCTGGAGGGGACCAAGCAGCTTTGCCAAAACTTCATCAGGTATATAGAGGAATTCGTGTGCATGCGTGTGTAAATCTTGAAATTCTTTGTAACTACTGTAGCCAGAGATCAGCCAGGCCGAGGAAAGTGCCTGTCCCACAGGGAAACCAGGCACAGGGATCGCCAAAACCTCAGAATCCATGAGAAAATGGCTTTTGCCAGGATAGGGGTGGAGTGATGGAGCTGGCCATGCTCCCACAGATCCCACCTGTGCTAGTTCAGAAAGGAGAAACCTCCACCCCTGGGACTGGAGAAACGGGGGGAAAACGAGAATATTGAGATTTGCAAAGTGAGCACTGGCTGGTGGCACCGGGGTGGCCACGGTTCCTTTCCTTTGGCCACATCCCCTGCGGCCCCAGCACCCCCTCACTCCCCATGTCCCTGGCAAGTGCCGTGAGGAGGAAATCACAAGTGAAGTGTTTTGCTTAAATTTAATAATGGCAAGAGCTGGATTTTTTACTCCTTTATTTTTCCTTTTCCTTTTCCTGATGAGGAATTAAACAGATCCCTGGCCCGTGTGGGGCAGCATCCGCAGCAGCGCTTGCTGGGCGCTGAACGGGGATGCTCAAATGCCTTCCTTCCCTATTTTTTTCCTTCCCAGCCCCCCTCTCTCAACTCTTTTGGGAAAAAAACCCTACTCAGGCTCTGTGCCACCCTCATTTGGGTTCCCAACACCCTGTTTTGAGCAGGGCTGGGCTGTTTACCCATTTACCAGCAGCTGTGCCCACTTTGATACCCAGGGCATGGCTGCCACCCTTTTTTTTGGCTTTACTGTGAAGGGCTGACTGCCCGAGGCACGTTGTGGAGGGGTTACTTGACAAAGTCAGCTGGCAAAAGGCTGAAATTCCAGGTAGCAGCACTGAAAGCTTTTCCTCTTCCTGTGCCTTTTTAAAGCACAGATAAAGTGGTGACCATTATGTTTGTACGATATGAATTCTCTTTGCTAAAAATAAGCTGTCCACTCACTAACAGGTTTAGAAGGACACATTTCTTTTTTCTCCCTCTGGTGGTTTTTTTTTTATTATTTGTTTGTTTGTTGAAAGCTCTAGGAAAGCTGTACAAATATCTTCCAGCATCTTCTGGATTCCTTCTGCTGGTTCCTTCAAGCTCAGGGGTCACTTCCTGAGCTTTGCAAACCTGAGAAAGGAAAAAAATCATTGATACCAAGAGCAGCTGAAGACAGGACATTTTTAATGGAGTTCAGCAGCCCCACTGGCAATGCCTTGAGGGTTCATAACTCAGAAAGGCAGAAAGCTGCTGGTACAGGTTTCATTCATCATTTCTGGTTATGTTAGTGCACTTTTTTCCACAGTGGTTTGGGATGTGTGTGGCATCTCCCACCACAGTGGAACCCATTGGTTGTTACCCCTGTCCTGGTACTGCTGAGGTTTTGCTGGTGGCTGTGGCTGTGTCCACTCCCTCCAGGCAAGCAGGACAAGCCCCAGATATCCAGGGAGGGGATGACAGGGATGTCTTTTCATTTTGGAGAACCCTCCAGCTCTTTTAAAGTGTCACTTTATGCATCACTTAGAAAAAAATATATCCTGGGTTAATTTTTCTCCCTCCTGTTGTGGAGGGTCCAGCCACACCAGTGTTTTCCCAGGCTGCTGCCCCTCTGTCTGTGCCCCTGCAGTGGCACCCTCACAGCAAAGTTCTTGGCTTTGAGTCTTCCTGATGCTCCCTCCATCCCTCCCTCCCCACCACTGACAGGTCCTGCTCTGGGGGCACACAGCTCCTGCTGGCCACAGGCACCTCCTCAGCTGAGCAACAAAGGGCAAATCCACCCAAACCCACATCCAGCCACCACCTGGGCATCCCCAGGGCTGGAATTCCTAAGGGCTTCTGTTTTCTTTCCAAGGGCTGCTCCTGGTGCCACGCTAATCCCCAGAGTGGGAAGGTGGCCAAGGGACCACGGCCCAGCTGTCCTGGACCTGGTGGCCGATGGGCCACGGCGCAGCTGTCCTGGACGTAGCCGTAGCATTCAGTTTACATTCAGCACAACCCGTTTGCCTTACTAAAAATGCTTCTCCAATGAGTCATGGCCTTAGACTGGGCACGTTGGCGTAGGCACAGACTACAGTTAGCGACAGTTTTGAGGCCACAGTGGTGTTCTGTTGGGTATTTCTTGTTGGGTTTGTATGATTTCATGTACTTATTCTCAGTTTAAGAAAGCCTTACTTTTTACTTTATTTTTCTCTCTCTCTCTCTCTCTGTAGAGGTAAAACATTTGTGGATTTATATATATATAAATATATATATAAATAAAGTAATTAAAATATTAAATATAATATAGTATGTGCCTCAGATTCAGGGGACATCCTGTTGATTGTAAGGTCAGAAGTGGCGTTGCTCCCCTGGCATCAGGAGATCTGTCCCCTAGGCAGTGGGAGAGCAGCGCATCCCCTGGGGGTCTTGTTCTTGGTTTGTAAAGGATTTCACCTATTAGATGTTTTGGGAGCCCCCCAAACCCCCAGCAAACCCCTGCCGGCTGCCAGAATGTGATACTAAAGTAATATGCAGACAAGGGATGCTATTCCTTGCTAGGTAGCTAAAATAGGTTCATTATTGTGAAGGGACTCAGTGGCTTGTCCAAGGTGTGACCCAGTCTGGGCAGCAGCTGTTTTGGGATGACACCAAAGCTGTGGCAGCAGCAATAAAGGTTCTTCATCCTGAAAAAAAATAGGATTTTAACACAGAAAGTCTTAGCAGGCACACGGGAGTTTTGCTGTGTGTTTTGCAGATGTAGCTCTTTGAGCCTGTCCTATGAAAGAGTACATGAAAAAAAGAGAAACCAACGAAAAGAAGCGTTTGTAAAATAGATTGTAATTTTTCCACGTGCTAGCATAGCCTGTTTGGCCAATAAAATTGTGTTTCAAGTGCATTGTTTAAAGCTCCTGGCTGCCCAGGCAAACAGACTGACGTAGGATGTTCTAGGATTGTAGCAGTGCTTTGCGGCGTGTGTGGGTTCCGTGTTCGAGAAAGAAAAAGAAGAGGATGGCCAAATAAAAAAAAAATACACAAAACAAAACAAAACAAACCAGAAAGATGGGAAGAAGAATAAAAACAAAGCCTTCTGAAGCTATGACCTGTAGTAGCCAAGTCTCGCTGGCAATTGCACAAGCGCCGCGGGCCGAGTGTGTCCCGGGAGGGACTGCCCCAGGTGTGCCCTCCCCGGGCGGGCCAGGAGGCTGCTCCTGCCCCCTCCATGACTTGATTGCACTAGAGCAGCTCAATCTCAGGAAATTGCTTGTTACTTTTACTGTGTAAATAAAGCTTCCTGGTTCAATAAGCCGTGTCTGGCCTCTCTGTGCTGTCCCCGTGGCCGGGCGCGGCTGTGGGGTTGGGGATATGGGGACATCACTGACCCTCAGGGTTGTGGCACTGGTTGGAGTCTGATAGGGTTGGAGTTTGATGGAGACCCCTTCTCTCCTCTCCTGGCTGCAGCTCCTTGACATCTCTATAAGTGCTGGGAAGGGATGTCCCAAAAAATGGGTGGGGGTCCGGAAAGCCTTCAACCAGGAGCCTCCCTTGGGGTGTCTGTGGAGGAACGGTGTCCCAGCCATGGGGTGCACAAGAAAATGGACATTTTGTGATATTCACATGCAGACAGACACTCTGCACTCTCCCCATGGCAGGGGGACATCTCCCATGCCCCCCCCCCCCAGGTTGCATGAGAAAATGGACATTTTCTGATATTCACATGCAGACAGACACACTGCACCCTCCCCATGGCAGGGGGACATCTCCCATGCCTCCCCTCCAGCCTGTCATTGAGCTGTAACACAGCCAAAGACATAAACAACAAAATGCAAACTGAAGTGCCAAGTAGCACCTCCTTCTTTGTGTTTGAGGACAAACATAATATCCTGCCTCTTAAAATCTAAACCCAAATCTAAACTCAGAGCCCACAGCAGGCCAAGGGCACATGGGGGTGTTAAAGAAGTTCTTGGGGAAACAGGGCAGTATCTCCCTGCAGCCTTTGCAGCCCAAAAAGGAAAACGGCTGCACTTCCTCCAGCAGGCAGTGTAAAACTTTCATGACAGATGGCAGGATGTTTATCTGCCTAAACTTAATCAGATTGAAGTGATAGGCTTAGTATAATAGAACAAAAAAGGGAAGAATTAGGGGTTAAAAAAGAAATTCTCAGTGATCCATCACAGCCTGAACGTTTGACCAGGGTTTCGAGCATCCTTGCATGTGTGTGGATGCTGACAGTGCCATACACTTTGGCTGAACCACTACCCAGAGGACAGAAGATGCAAAAACAGACCCAAAAAATTGCACTAAGGTCATTTTCCCAGATGTAGTTTATTTTATTAGAACTTAATTCCCAGCCCCCTTTCCCCTGCTGTCCCCAAGGGGTGCTATGCAGCTCCAGGGCCAGCTGGTAGCTCTGAAAAACAAGTGTTCCAACACTCCAGAAACAGGCAGCATCATTTTGGTGTCCTTCAGTGAGTGGGGTCATCTTCAGCTGTTGGGACTGCTGGAAACAGAGCTGGAATTATCCTGTACCTCCTGCTTGCAGATGCAGAGAGCAGTGGCTGAATGCAGTGGCCAGCACATGCTGCCTGAGAGTATGGATATATATTAAATATATGTAACACAAACACAATTACATTATTTCCATGGTCCCCTGGAGATCTGGGGCAGGTTGACACCCAAATAGTCTTGCCCAAAGCCCAAGAGGGTACAGAGCTGCTGATGTGTTGATTAAAAGGTGACTTTTGCCTCTACAAGGTGACCCTTGCAGACACTACCACATGTCAGTGAGGGTGGGCAGAGGACTTGATGGAATATTTTAATTTTTTGACCCATCTTGAGCCCCTTCCATGCTCTTGCCAGGTGCAGCAT